TGACCATAGTATGTGTCCATCTGTAAAGGTTATGCTTTCTGTTCAGGATTCAAATGAACCATTTAGCTGAAAGTTTATGGTTATAGATGATAGTATTTACTGTTTGATATGTACAAACTTATTCAAAGCGATTAGCTGCATTATATCAATCTCTTTTTATATAAACTATTATGCCAAGGGCAAACTGAAAAATTCATATTCGGTATACTTAGGAGCTCATCACAAATAGCGAAAACTTCATTTGAATAATTTAAATTCTTGGTAAAAGGAGCTATCCCTTAAATGTTTTTACAAAAATCTGAGGGATTAGTAGGGTGAATAATATAAAAAGTATGTCATTTGAAGATAATAGCTTCTGCTGAACCAACTTACTGAAAAAGAATTATGATCTGGTTATTTTTAGACTATGATCTGAACATTTTTTGGATTGATATTTGAAATAGATGAACAATATACCCAACGCACACAAAGCCAAGCAGTAATTTATGTACAACATTCAATGAGAAGTGTTATCTATCACAAATTAATGATGTTTAAAATTTTAAATCATTGGATTATCGGCTAATGGTTCAGAGTTAATATTTTGCGACGTCACTTAAACATTCTGGAGGTCGATATAGTGTTTGGTCGGTAATAGGAATTACAGAGAATTCCTAAACTAATATGAGACTACAATCTATAATTTCTCTGCTACTTAACGGTTTTACAAGCAATGTCAATTTTTGGTCTAAATCATCATAAAACTACCCAATTTAACGATGAACATTAGTTTTAAGTGAAATACTCTCAACAAATTAAGAGATAAACAAAACAAATCCTTTCTAAAACCTTTAATATAGACGAACAGACAACATATCTATTTCCTTCCAACTAGTTTTTCACAATGACTATTCATTAATACGTACAGGTTGACCAATAATAATAATAACAGATAAAGAGCGGATGTCAAATAATTAATGCTAATTATTTAAGAATAAAGGAGATAATATTATTTAACTAACGTAAAACCACTTAATTAACATTCATTTTATGAATATTACAAATCCTGTATGTAAACAAGGGGCCATGATGAAAAGTTGATTGGCAACAAAATAACTCTCCTATCTCTTTTTCTTAGTCAATCGTTTTTCAACAAATGAATATCTCCAAGAGACGAAATAGAAAGTCGTTTCTTTTGAAATAGAGTTTTTTTAAATTGTAAAGTTTCTATAAGTATGTTGTCATGTAAGCCAGCTAGTGATAATACAAATTACAAAATCATTGAATGATATTATATTAGCTAACCACAACTGATTCTTTGTAAATGACTAATATATTTTATTTTACCTTAAAAGTTGGTGACAATCAAGTTTTCATGTTCAGTGTATGTTGCACAGTGAATAATTCAATAAAAGTGAGATTTAAAGAAAAATAGTATACATAATGATGACCACTAGGTCAAATTTATATATATATTAGGATTTCATCATGTTGGTTAAAGGTTGAAAGTATATAAAAATCAAACAGTTGTTATCGTCTTGACGATAATACTTTCAAGTTTTATCCCTGTATCTTTTTTTGTGAATGTCCTTTTGTCAAGAATAATGAATCATCGAAGATTCAAAATTGAAAGATATATGAAAAATATGATGTTCTTAATCTTCTGTTAAAATGAGTTCAACTGACTAGTTTACAATATATAACGTTACAATAAATAATGATATCATAATGACTTAAGAAATCCTGATGAAAACTGCTTTTTTGCAACATTCTCATAAAATCTATTAGTGTCGAAATTCAGGAAGCATTTCTAGAAGCCTCAGGTTAAAAAAATTCTGTAGAAAACAACCTTGCTAAAAAAACTTTTATTAGAATCAACAGTTTAAACCATTTAAACTCTGTCCTGAGAGTTGAAGGATCTTCATTTTGAGGAATATTATGAAGTCTCATGGTGATTGCCAAAATTCTAAGGAAGTCTTAAGGCAGATGTCCCTCCGAACGAACAGATGAATAATTAATATGAGTACAGGTGAAAGCCTGAGATACTGAATCATTAATTTAGATGGTGAATAACTGATACAACCAAATGATGGTCAAGCTATATTTGGAATTTGCTGAAGTACAAAAGTATGAAACATTGGAAGATGAATGGTAATTTACTTGCCGCCATAATTTTAATCTTCTTATGCATTTTCGACAACTGAGAACTTAATGTATATGAACTCTTCTGCGTTCCCCTCAGTTTACAAAAGATCTTCGAAATCCATATTGTTTCTTTTAATTATCTCCAATCATATTCTTCTCATTATATTATGTGTGTGTCGGAAAAATTGAATCAGTCAGTTAGTCATATACTTGGAATATATGAGGTAAGGTCCAAGTTGTCACAAAGAACAGCGAGATGCCTCAGCGTCAGAAGCGCCAATAGCGTTAGATCTGGTAAAAAGGATTAGGTATTAAAGATGTGCTTTGAAAGGCAAGCAAAGATTCATGGAATAGTAAACATTATGAGATACTTTAGAGAGTTAACATCTAGAGGAAAACACAAAGTGAATTCACTTACGTCATAGAAAATGATTCTGAACCACATTTTACGAACTCTCTAACCGTTGGCTACGACAGTCGCACGAACCCTAACCAGTCAGCTTACAGTTACCATGACTTCTTGTAAAGATAGTTTGTGGTAAAGCATATTTAATGGATGTCTTGACCATCTCTGTAGATGAACATTCCCCACCTCATCAAATGACTTTTTATCTTAACCTAATGACCTGAGCTTAACCTTAGTATTGATTTATCGATGGTCCTACCATACACGAGCGATGTTTCAAGGGCATCTATATTCGAATTCTAGTGAACTGTAAATATCCTCTATCTTTAATGGCTTCCTTTCATAGACATTAAGTAGGACAGGTCAAACTGCCACTAAGTATACTCGTTATGTTGTTGGTAGACGAAAATCTCGTTTACACCATAAGTGATGTTGGTTTGAGAAGGCCAACCGAGCTTCATGAAACCATGTTTAAATCCCGCCATAAGGAAGTTAATGAATCATAGTGTTTAACAACAAGTTATTCCACCAAAAACCGATATTGATTTATAAGTACCACATAGTTTCTTGAGAGATAGTTTGAATCTAAGATCCTGTTTTTATATAACAACGAAAATATGAGTGAAGCTGCATATGGAACATCACACATAATCTTCACTACAGCACCATTCAGTTTTCTTGAAATCAAATCTGTTCACGGACGCTGATTCTCTAGACCACTGAGCACGCAAGATGAAAGGTTCTGGGTCCGATTTCCTCCTCCAGAGTTGTGGACTTGCACTGCTGAGGAGTCATATATCAGGTTTGCAATACTAGTCTAGGTAAAATCATTTTATGATTAAAACTATGAAAATCCTACAATCTCCATAATAATTATATCATATTGTTTATTTACATCTATCCAGTAAGCAAACGTGATCATTAGACTACTTTTAAACTTGTTGGTAGATATTATTTGTCGCATATTGTTTTGTATTCATTTGCTAAAACCTCTGGAAGTGGTTGCTCTGTTTTCATTTATTTACTAAAATATATTATTACTTCAAGACTGGATATACAGAAATTATATATAAACATGAATACAAGACTTAAATAGTTTTCCCCCAGTGCCAACAATCAACTTCATTGATCAATAATAGAATTACATGATTCAAGCCCACTTGGGATTTGGCAATACAGTTTCATAAATAATGCTGAAAAGTACAGTATGTAATCAAATTTTCTTATCACTCAACTTGAAAAAGAAAGCAACCACAATTTGTCTAATTATTGAATTTTATCTAGTCAGTGATGAGTGATTTGTATGGTGGGTCTAATTTACTGACTTTTTCAACTGATAAAGGAAAATCAATATTGTGCGCTAGTTACATAATCAATTTTAAATACACTTTGTTTACAGAAAATTTTCATAGACAAACAATATCGATAACAACTTGGTTTATCTTTTTTAAAAACTTTTAACCTTATAGTAATTTATTTAACTTATATAAACTCTGAATACTGATATTAAACAAACAAAAGGTGAAATGACGATTCATTAAATCATAAATTATGACAAGTTATGGTCTATTTATCAATAGAATTGATGTTTAGTTTGAAGTACATCTAATAATTAAAAAAAAGTTGGCAACCTAAAAATTAGTTCAAGGAGAATAATATTTTTTCGTCGAAGCCTAAATATTGAACAATACGTCTATTAGTTTGTCAGGGATGCAAGTTATTTCTGAAAATTTGAAAAAATAATCACCTAGAACGAGATGCTTTATGCAGGTCTAAGCTTCTCAAAGTCTTTGTGTTATTGTACATTTTGTTCTAACATTATGAAGTCGTTAGTTCATACGACGGAAAAACGTTCAAACTTGTTAGTTAAACCCCTTAAAATACAACATTTGAAAAGTATCTATTCGTAAATATGTCAGTGTTGACTTTTAATAAAACAAATTAAAAGTATTTTAATTGCTTTTCAAAGTTTACGCATGGTTTCATAAATAAACGAGACCAGTCAGATTACACACAACGGTATGAATTAAGTTAGCTCTTACAAATAATTGTGAGAAAAGCCGAGGAAATTTTCTTATTTATTTTAAATGCTTATTAATGTGGGCGATGCCTACCTAGTCATTATTTTGCTAATATTAAGTAAAATACATGATCAAAAACAGTAATTAAGTACAAGCTAACAGTGTCTTTTTACTAAAATGTTTAGGAAATTAGTTTGTCGTGACTAGAAGTACAACTGTGCCAGAATATCCAGGTAGTTCAATTCATACCAAGTAGCGTTAAAAACTTATATTGATAAGTCTAAATATCTCATTGTCTGTAAACATTTCTTAGATATTCGAAACTATGAGTCCTAGGAACATTTTTCAGAAATACTCCAAGAAAAGTCGACGTAATTGGAATGATATATATTTTAAATTATATAAGTACTATTTCTTAGTCTACAAAAACGTGTTAAGATCAAACTAACCTTTAACATTTATTGATAATTCTTCATATTTATGCATATCACATAGATTGGCATTATAATTAGTATCCATAACATATGTTTTTTCATCAAATGGTTCAATATCATTTTGTTTTAGTTCGATAGCATTTTCAGAGGATGCAATTAATTTTGATGGTAATTTGGTAAATTTCGGTGTAACTGTTACTGGTGTCGACGTGGTTAATGTTGAATCTAAAATGGTTTCATTATCATTTTCTAAATCCGATGCTGACTGACTATTCAGATCTGGATCGGTAGTACATTTACGTTTTTGACTACGACAAGACAATGTTTTAACTTTTTTACATGATAATGTTTGGTAATCATTTTCCTCATCTGTGTGAGAATTTGTATATAATGTTTGTTCATTGAATGCATCTGAATCACTTTGTGCTGTTGTATAAGCTTCCTCACTGCCTGTACCAATTAGATGACTACATACAGTCACATAGGAATCAGCTTCACTAATAACACCTTCTTGACTTATTGTTGATAGCATAGAACTTAAAGAACCAGAATGTGATTTTTCTAATTTTTTATTGTTATTGTTGATATTGTTATTTCGAATTTCAGCTGAAACTGGTCGTGATTTAAGATTTTTTGTAGTTATACATGAATTATCTATTTTTTTAGGTCGTAATAGAACAATATTAGGTGATTGTTGACTGTATTCACTTGTGATTATGCATTTTTCATTATATACAAATGAATTGGTTTTGCTAGTATTGTTATCAATATTATCTTTTATCATCTCAACTTGTTGCTGTTGATGTTCTAAAGCAGACTCGTCAACATTTTCATTTTGTCGTATAATATGCTCCTGTTTGTCAGAGTTATTATTATCGATACAAGATAGTTTAAATTCCTGACTTACTGATTGATTTATTGGTATTTGATCATCTTTGTAATGTTCAAACGGTTTCAAAATCTTAATATCTTCTTCCATGGATTTTTCAGTAGTGTTATTACCAATATTATTGTTACCATTATTCGTAGAAATCTCATGTTCATATGACGACCAGTCATCATCATCATTCTCTTCTGATGCTTCATCAATTGTAGTTAATGAATGTCCATTATCATAGACTTTAAAATCTTCACTGTTTAGATTTCTACTATTCACATCATTGTTATTTTCAGTCAAATATTTATTACCGATTGATAATATAATTGTGTCATTATTTGATATAATCATATTTTGTAATTTGATTTCGTCTGAGGCTAAATTACCGAATGTTGGTGATATAGCAGGTGATAAACTGTTCTCCGATTCAGTAGTACTATTCTCTTGCTTGTCTGGTTGATAATCGTCTAAATCAGTTTCTATCATGGAATGATGATCATGTGAAGGGAAATTATATTCAATAACTTCATCATCATCATCGTCGTCATTATTAATGTCATCATTTATTTTATGGCTACTGTCCATTTGTCTAATTTTAACATAATGCATGGTTCTAAGCTGATAAGCATCGTTAATATTATCATTATCATAAGGTTCATCGGTGAAACCGTATGAATTACCATAGAATGGATCATGTAGATTAAAATCAGATGGTGATCTCCATGTTTTTGTCAAATATTTATCTTCTTCAATACTACGCTCATTATTATCAGTAGTGTTAGTAGCGTTATTGTGGTGAATCATGTCATTACGATTATCATTAAATTGACGAATATTATTACAATCAAACAATTCATCTGCATTAGTATTGGGAAATCGATTTTTTATTGGACGGATCCGTATATCCATAAACTCATCTTTGTCAGCTATTAAACCTAATAGTTCTTTTTCAGGGATACATTTTAAGTTATCTGATAAATCTTTTTCATGAGATACTAATGAAGATTGACTTGTTTCTATTTGAAGTGGAGGAGATGATAATTTTATTTGTTCCAACCTCGATGATGAGTTTTCTCCTTCGATATTAGTTTGTTTATTACCAATCTTCACCGTTGTTGTTGATCTTATAAGTTCAGGTGATGTTGGTGTTGTCTGATTTAAACGTTCTGTTAACACATCTATATCATGACGTACTGATTGTAATAAATTTTCCATGGAATCATATCTTGCTTCAGTTGCTTGAATCCATTCATCAGCAAGAGCTAAATTTCTTCCAGAATACTTTGATGACTCACTATTAGTAGCAATAGTTGTAATAGTATTGTTATTCATTTCATTATTTGTATTTTTATTTACTTGTGAATTACTTTTAATTAATTCCTTATCCATTATCAATTTTTGGTATGATTAAACCAAATTATATTATTTCTTAAAAAAAAAGTAGTCAAATAAAATTATAAGTATTGAAACAAATTAGATGACATTCATAAGCCAATTAATTTCCATAAGATTGTACACATTGAACATTGTTTTATTCTGGATTCAATATGAATAATTTTTTTTGTTTAAAAATTAATTATATAATTCCTTTGATATTTTTTTACAATCATTTATATACATATATTTTTTTCATGTGGCATGGAAACAATAAGAAGATAATAAAAAAAAGAAAATAATGATACGGATATTAATTAATAATTCATAAAATAATCATTTGATTTTCTTTTCTTTTTGTTTTTCAAATTTTTATAGTTAATATCTATTTTTATAGATCACTTGATATAGAACATAATTTATTGTTTCTAACCAATGAATGATCTTTTTCTATATGTATGCATATTATGATTGTGTATAAATGTTTAGTGTTATTTTTCGTATAGTTATATAATACGTAACCATTGAATCAATTAGTCAATCAAATCACTCTATATCAATTGGTTAATATAAAATGAAAAGAAAAGAAAAAAAAGAGAAAAAGAAAAAAAGAAAAAAATTGAAATCTGAACTTATTTTCTTTAAATGATAAAAAAAAGAAATTAAATTTGTAAAAAGCTAAAAAATAATTAATAAAATAAAATAAGTAAATAATAATAAAGGATTAAATAATTATTTAGAGATATATATTTATTTGATTGACTTATTTTGAGAGAAAAAATTTCCACATTTTATTATTCATCACTTTTTTTCTATTTCAATATTGAAAGAAAATTAAAAAAAGTTTTGATAAATTTATTTGAATGATTTGATTAAATAAATAGTTTGATGAAAATTTAAATTTTTTTTTCTAAAGATGAGTTGATCAATATGTGACGAAACCTGAAATACCGAAAAAAAACACACCAAAAATCAAATTATATATTTATCAAATCAATGAATAGAATAACATTCAATATTTAAATAATTATGTCCATTGATGTCTATCTGTTATCAATTGAAGAAATGTGACTTTTTCAGATTTTAAACTTTATGGATATTCGTCAATAGCGTAAAGTTATTGTTTTGGTGTAATTTAAAAATAATGCAAACGTAATATGTGTAACATATAACTCAATAATCATTTGTTTGTTTATGCTCTAGTCTTTAAGAGATCATTCTTCTCGAATGAAAACAGTTGAAAGGGAGATTGAATTGTGTAAGTAAATGCTAACGAACAGTGAACTTCCACCATTATAACACTGTGTGATTAATGAGTTTTAACCAACTGATGACATTAATTAATAAAAAGTTTTAAGCATTAGTACTAGACAAGAGTAGGATGTTGGCCATTTTAATAAAATACAGATTCTTTACAGATAAGTAAAAATGAAATGTGAGCGTCTTCTGTGTTTTCCAACAACATAATCAAACGGTATTGTAAAAATATCTTCAATTTTATAAAAATGAGTTCAAAGGTTCTGTACTCGAGTTTCGCAATTTAGATCGTACATACTTGCTTCTGAGGAGTCCCAAACTAGGCCGAAACAGTGATTCATTGCTCCCAGGTTCTCAGTGGTTGCCTAACATTGATCGGTACATGATCTCAATTAAAATTCAACAGTCTACAAAACCCTATACTGAAAATATTTATTTAATTTTTAAGGACAGATCATTTGTTCATAAATCTTTTACAGATGACCAATGTTAAAATAATCTAATAAATTAACATAATTAAAATATCACATTTATATATTCATTACGATGATTAACTTTTATCAGTCAAATCTTTAATACAATTAAATAGCTTTTTCTAAATTTTAGTTACAATTTACTGATATTTGAATCATTTATTTAATGTTCTTGTTTCTAATTACAATATATTCTTTTTGTTAGAGTTCAGTGATATTCAGGATACATTTAAAAAGTTTAAAAATCTAATAGATCGTATATTCTGTCTAACTATTGAATCAGAGATTGAAGCGTTCAAATGACAAACTTATTCAAATTTAGTTTTACTTTACGTGTTGATTAAAATACGGTTACTTGACAAAGTTTATGCTTTAAAAAATAAACATAAATACGTTTGTATGTATGAATAAAAACATGGGACCAAACTAACTTTATGACTAAATGTATAGAGCAACAAATAAACCTACAAAAATAGTAATAAATATCTTTCACTTGAGACTATCAAGTTAATGATGAGTTTTATCTCAATTGTAGGTTAATGTAAACTTAATTTCATTGCCTTCCGTTTGTTTAACCGGTTACTTAACATGTGACTCATAAGTAGATGCATAAATCTATTATTATCCAACTTAGTACAATGTAATATACATCTTGCCAAACGTGAATTAGTCCTTTAATTTATGAGAAACTGAAAAGACATGTTTTGAAGAAAATTCCAGGGTATTAAAAGATGAAGAACAGGTACATTATCCTATTTTGAAAATAATCGGCATTCAGAATAATCTTGAGATAATTATTACTATTATTAACTGGTTTACATGCTGATGAACAAACGTAATGAACCTTAATTCTTCACAGTACGGCACTCATGTATTTCTCAGAGTGTAAACTTGCCTTTTAATTATTTGAATCAAAATTTATCCATATGCTTAAACTATTTTTTTGTTACAAGGTAGTTAACTTTTTTATAAATGATCTTATAGTTTGCGTTCATTTTATGTGTATATGGGAAAAAATTGGGATAAATAGTTTTATGAAGTGGCAACCTGAAAATTTGTGCTTTTGATTATACAAGAAGGTTTAGGGATCTGTATAACCAATGAATTAAAACTAACCCAAATTGTATGGAAGATCACTTTTGATTTATGAAAAAGATACGACTCATTGTTAAATTGTTTAGCTAACAAAATTTCCTTATGAATGAGAAAGCATTCGTCATGCCCAAGCATCTATACAGTGTTTTTTAAATATGCTCACAATATTAAATTTAAATATAATAAGAAAAGGTGAATGGCGGGATCCAGGACACACGTTATATTCTAACTGGGACTCATCAGCTGGATATACTTGCATCTCAGTGTTGATATTCATTCTGAGACTCGAATCCAGTACCGTTTTCTTCAAACGCCATCGCGTTATCCACTTAACTACTGAATCCTGATAGCCGCTAGTTTTAACTTAAGACAATATCGAAGTAATCCTCACAAGATGTATACATGCCAATAAGAGACTGATTAACTGTAGTCTTAAACGTCAATGAGAAAATTCAAACGAACAATACAAAATGAATTTAAATATTGTAGTTTACCATTTCGAATTCAATCAATTTATCCATTCACAATAATAGATTACTATATTACCCTCAAATTGATTAATATTCACATAAAAAATGAGATTGTGAAACTTTAGAAAAAAAGAACTATATCCAAAAATTCATAATACAATTTATTATTAACTACTTCTATTTGAAAAGAATACAACTTAATAAAATGCATAAGACAAGTATAAAAATGTAATTCTTACATTATGATATATATTTATATTTATGAAATAATATAATTATTAGTCAACTCTTTATTAATCAACTAAATATGATAAGATAAACAAATTTTAATAGTTGAGATCATGAATCAATTGTCACTAGACCACCATGGAAAACCTGGAAGCACTGGACAGCCATTTCATCTTATTGTGGGACTCCTCAGTAGTGCGGTCGTCTAATGCTTTCAGGTTTTCCATGGTGATCTAGCTTCAATTGATTCATGATCTTAACTATTAAAATTATTACTACGATATCCACAAAATCCTTTCTGAAAATAAATAAATATTTACTAAAAAGTTCATAAATTAATTAAATCAATACGAATAAATAAGTTGCATAATCAGAATATAAATTTCTTAATTCTTTGAAAATACATTAGATGACTATTGATTGAGCTTATTGATTATCCAAGAAAAAATCTATAACACTGAAAATGGATATAAAATTTGTTTAAAAGGTATTAAATTTACGCCTTTTTTAAATTTAGATCATTATGTTTTTTTTATGTTAATGCTTATTTCATAATGATCGTTAGAATGACAGTTTACTTTTAAGTGTAATTAAGTTATTCATACGGAAAGATTATATTTAAACAAATTAAATCATTGATGAAAATTGTAGACAGTTTATAAAAAGAAATCTTATTTAATCCAACGTTCGCTACTATCGAAATTATTCTTATTTATGGCGGCCTACTTCAAAATCTAGGTTACCTGTTCCTACCATTTAAATATTTCAACAAATTATCTGTTTTTGTTTGTTTCAACAGATCATTATGTCAGTTAATTATACAACCTATTCAGTTGCGTTTGTGAAAATTTCACGAGCTTCTACTGCACAAGTTAAGAAAGAGCACAATAAGAGACATTGTGGTTACTGGCAATATACATCGAAAAGAATGTATATTAGTCAGATGTTTACTCCAAAACCGCTAGCATATGATTGGCGATCTCACAATATTTATCGTCATAATCGATCAACAAGAAACGGAAACTTGTTGAAATACTTTGTACTGAGAACTCTATATTGTATTACTCTTATTTGTGATCTCAAGAAGCTTTCAATTGTTTCTATTATTCATGTGTATACCAAATATCTATCCACATTTTGAATAGACATTTTTATAACAACATTTCTAAATGACAAGTTTTATAATTTTACACATAACTCTACAATTATGCCATGTAGAATGATTTAAAACTGATTAAAATTATAATAATGATAACAATCATCCCATATTTTTACTTCTAAAGGTATACTATTGAACTAAAAATATTCTTTATCATCTCAGAACTTTAGATTTTCTTATTATTTATTAATTCCCTTAACTATAGATTTATCTTTTTAACGGTATTGAAATACTATGTAGACTGAAATCTACTTGATCTATCAGTAAGAAAAAAAAAGGAGAAATGGAAATGAAAAATCAATTAGTCGTTAATTCTATTCTTCTAGGTTCATTTTCTTAAATTAAAAATTGAACAATAAATAGAGGTCATCAATCATTCAAATTTTATTAGCTTCAAAATGGTCTTATATTGATTTAATTTGATAAATCACAATGAATGATTATAATGTATGCAAAGAAACAGTTTTAAAATAATATCTAGTATGAAAATATCTATGCTACTTAAATAATCATTGTTTATACTTCATTATTTATCAAAAAAGATCAATAAATATGCACAATTGGATACTGAAAACTTTTATATCAAATTTTAATGAACAGAAAACATTAAACAGATGATCATAATTGGTCAGTTAATTAAAAAGTATTTAAGATTATTGTTACGTGTGTATCACTAATCACTAAAAATGACTTTATAACCTTTGAAAAGTTAAATGTTTTTATAAAGTATTAAAATACTTATTACATATAATGAGATCTTTTTTAGAGCTTTGGAGCTAAATACAACCCTGTCTTTTTGATCTCGATAGCTAGTCACTTCAGGTTTTAAGAAAAGAAATTCCCCTTCATGTGCTTTATAAATATCAGACTGGTTTAAAAACGAGATATGGCAAGACAAAGACATGATATGAGTACACAAAGTCATTATCTGTGGTTATGAGCCGTATAGGGTCTAGAAACAATAAGAACTTACAGAGTAACACTCTACGTAGAATGCAAACGATCGGCTGAATTGCAGCGAATTCATTAGTAGTTTGTCATTCTCTAAGTTTTAAGAATAATAATACTACATAATTTTCATTTCCCTATATTGTTGCAATTTCTTTTCATTTTAGTTTTTCACTACTGTTGATTTTTATTTCTGTTTGTTTCCTGTTT